ATCCAGAGAGTGGCGACTGCTTTAACGCTCGAGAACGCCCCAGCCTTGTTACCTAGGGTAAGGTGGTCAATAGCTTTTTCAACTTCAAACGAGTCATGCCCCTTTGCGCAAGATGCTAGGACGACACGTTTGTATTCGTGGTATTCGTCTGCCACTTAGGACGTCGAATGGCAGTACGATCGGTGAGCGGTGAAGAAATCTCAGGTGAAAAAGCGAGATTTCCATTGATTTTATCGGCAAAAAACGGATTCAAAGTCTTGGAGGCTGTTTTCGACTGTGCACATACAACGCAAAAATCTTATATGGGAAGCGCGTTCAGTCGAACTGGCCTTTTCAGATGAGACACATACTGCTTTGCAGAGTATTGCACGGTGATTCAAGTCTGTCTTCCAAATCTGTCAAGCGCCTCTGGACGCCGAGTTATGACCGTTTTTTGGAACGAAAAAGAATGCAGAAAGGTAAAATCGATTGTTACAATCTTTCCAACGCTCAGATAAAGCAGTGTTAAGTATTAACATGTTAGACAAAATTTATCCATTGCATAAACGGTTCTGATACTTGACACTAGATTATTTGAGCAAATTTGGGCGCTTCTGTTCCAATTTTGCGTTCAATTTTTTGACCTGAAAAACGCCCATAACTCGGCGTCCAGAGATCCTTGCCAGATTCGGAAGGCAGATTTGGAATCGTCGCTTATTGCGCTTCGAAGTAGTATGGGTCTCATCTGGAAAAGCCACTTTTGAACACGCTTGTTAGCTTCAGCATACGAGCTCTTCGTTCTAGTAGCCGCAAGCCGCATCAAATATGCGATTGCACTGAGACAAAGATTAGAAGCTCGACCACGCTCAAAAGGAAGGATGGAACTTTTACATACTAGGAGAGAAGATTTCAACATGAAACATCGGAGGTTTAGGTTTTGTCGTACACCAATCCGTTCGCCACCTTGTCGATCCTATGAAATCTTGGCGCCACGACTAACACTCCTAAGACTTGCTCCACGTTGGAGGAAGATTAGCCTCATCAACTATTGTTCGCCTACAGACGCAGCAAATTAACGCAAACTCGACAAGCTCCACGAAGAGCTTGAAGACGCCATCCATAAATAAGACTCGTCCTTTAGATTTATTGTTTGCGGCTTCAACAATTTGCACTGGGAAGTCGGAATGAGAATGGAGACAAACGCGTCAGACTCATCGAAGCGGGTCGTCTATTCCATGGATATTCTTTTTGCCAGAAGAGAGGACATCGCCCCTGCAAGTGGCAGTCACCAAATGCTACGGCACATGCAGAGATCGGTCACATACTTGTCAACAGAATGGAGTGATCGATGTCGGAGTGTGGTCCCGCCTTTCTGAACAGGTTCGGACACCGCCTACTTCGTGCAAAATCCGCAAAAATCCGGGAATCGATGCGAAATAGAAGCGATAACGAGGGATTTCTACAAGAAACTTTTTTGATCCACAACGCCCATACATGACCCTGCCATCCCCACTGGTGAACAGCCGCAGGGGATTCTTTCTTCAGAGCTGCGCTCGGCCCAGTGGCGGACCGAGGGGGGGGGCCCTTCCCCCGAGAATGGGTCGCGAAATTTTTGAAAATTACTTATATGGGTTACAAAAATGCGCAAGTGACTTGTTTATTCTTGTAAGTAATTAAAATAGTTTTCAAAAAATTTTGAAAATTCAAATTAGCCTTGAAAAAAATTTCGGGGGCGTGGCTAACGCCACCGCCACTGGCTCGGCTATAGAGTGCATGAAACTAAGCACTAACCGTGATCCCAACGGAATCACCTCCAACTTACTAAGAGCAGGCGAACACAAGTTACACACTTTGCTGGAAACTCATATTACAAGATATCTAGAGGAAAAAGAAATCCGCGAGTAGAAGGCATCCCAGCTATTTTCCTTCGTGAAAAGGCGGGAGAGAAGCATCAAGAATTACAGACCGGCTTGTTAAGTATGCTTCACAAGCTATTTGCGAAAATCATTACATTGCGTATTTTATGGATGTTTGATGAAGCAGAACCGATTGAGCAAGCAGCATCAGAGAAGATCCAGCTGCGTCGATCACATTCCAATCGTCTCAAGGGTAGCCATTTCAAGGGTAGTGGAGGTATGTTGTGATTACCAGCTGTCCCCACTCCTCACCTCTCACCTCTACCGATTATGAAAAGGCCTTCGATAGTGTAGAAATCAACGCCTCATAACCGCTTTGATCGACCAAAGCGTGGACTCAACGTACATAAGGACTATAGCGGACTGCAACAAAGAATGTACCACCACGAAGCTGTTCGACCCCTCGCTCAACATCCGTATTGAGAAAGGAGTGCGATAAGGCGACTCGTTGTCGCCAAAGCTGTTTATTGCGGTACTGCAATAGTGCATGTAGTCGCGCGATTGGAAAACAAAGGCGATACGCGTGGATGGAAGGTTGCTTTTGAATCTCCGTTCCGCAGACAATATCGTCTTGTTCTATAAGTGCATCTGCGAAGTCGAAGAGATGCCGAACGAGTTGAACGAAAGCGGGAAAAATACATAAATAAATACAAATAAAAAAACAAGGTAGAACATTCAAAAACCACTCAAAAGGCTTTGAAAAAAAAAACAGTGACGTATACAGGGCTTATCAAATTGAGTGTCGTTTGCGCCTGCATCTCCATCTTCGCGCTGGGCTCTGCGTCTCTTCTGCGGTACGTGCTCCCTAATCACTTTCAATCGATTGAGGCTTCGCCTTTCCCACGCTCGCCCTGGGAAAGTGCTCACAAGGGAATGGTCAGAAGTCGAAGTGGCCAATCCATACAAGCTGCATACCAATCGATGCAGCATAGGATGCTGATCTCAAATGTGTTTTCCGTATCTGCAGAGCGCCTTTGTGGGCGAAGTTATGAGCAGCTTTACTGCGGAAAAATCGTCCACAAAAACTGCGAAATTAGGCAGATCACTGCTCTTTCAGCTCACCTTTAGGTACGAGCCATATGAACTGACCTAGTTACACGTTTTGGTTCAACACTGAGCCGAGAATGGCTTTGTACGGCCAAATTTGACCTTTACACGCACAATTTCTTAGCAAAATGATGACATTTAACGGCTTATAACTTCGCCTACAAGAGCGCTCTGCAGATAAGGAAGACAGATCTGAAATCAGCATTCTATGCTGCATCGAATGGTATGCACCTTGCTTGAATTGGCCACTTCGATTTCTGACCATTCCCTTGTCAGAGAGCAGTCCCGCGGAAGAGACGCAGAGTTTAGCGCGAAGATGGAGATGCTGGTGCAAACGACACTCAATTTGATAAGCCATATATATGTACCAGTTTGCGGCATGATGTATTCGGCACGCACGACCGCGCGCTTGGAGCAGCATTGCTGCCACCATTCAGGAAATTTTGGGGGATCTGTAACTAAGCGGAGAGGAGGGTCTTTGAAGCGGTTAAGGATCCTACACATTCTACACATAGGTAAGGGGAAGTGATTTAAGTTATGTAGAAAGTGTGTAAAGTTATATAAGGAAAGGGAATATTTGTGGCTTGTTCTCTCTGAGTCACTCGGGTGGCATTCGTGGCTATGGGCAACCTAAAAGCGGTGGCTCGGCATATCCTCGACTCAAATCTCTTTGTTTACTATTCGGGGTAAAACAACTGCTAATTCCATCCACGGACAGCGCGAAACTGTCGAAAACCAGCATTTCCTAAGTTTTCTTTTGATTTTCGACGAGTGGATCACTTCCAGCAAGGTTGGAAACGCAGAGTCGTTGCGGGGCCTATATAGTTTATACGTTGCAGCAGGCCTCCTCCGACATTGCGGATAGGCGGGAGGAGGGAATCGCGGCGCTTGTAAAGGATCGTTCAGACCGCGCACAAAGGCGCACAAAGGCGCACGAAGGCGCATGAAGGCGCACGAAGGCGCGTGTGATTGAGTGTGCGTGTCGAGATAAACGAGACGAGATAAGACGCGCCTCGTGCGCCTTTGTGCGCCTTCGTGCGCCTTTGTGCGCGGTCTGAAAGATCCCTAAGATGGTTTGTGCGCATATGGGTTGGGGGAGGGGGGCTTACTTTGGCAGATGCTAATTTTTCAAAAGTTGGCTTAAAGGCGCCGTCCCTCATCTTGAGGGTTAAAAGATTTTGATATCATATGAGCAAGGCCCCTAACATGCATCTGCTCCAGTCTCGCTGCAAAAATGAATTTCAAGCGTGAAAAAAGTTCCAGAAGTTAGAGGCGGCTACGTTGGCTCCGCTTATCAGTCTGGGTTTTTGAAGATTGTTAGTATTTGCTCCAAATAATCACACACCCAAATTCCTAGAAATTTGCTAGGAAACACGTCACCAAAACACATAGAAGAAAAATTCACTCTCAAGTTCTAGGATTTCGATCAATACTTGGTCGAAAACCGAAGTCTTCAAATCCCTCCGTAATTAAAGAGCTGCAGTATTATATCATTTCCATAGCAATTAAGTTGATTGTGCAATTTTGTTGAAAAATTGTGACGTGCATAAGTACATAGCCAAACGAAAGATTTCTATGATTTAATTTTTTGTTCTTCATAACTTGAGCACATCAATTGAATTTGGTAGATCCGGAATCGATATGGAAATTTTCAACGATATAGAGTCATTGCTTACCATTTCATTTTTTGGTATGTCCATTTTGATTTTTGAAATATGCTGTCTTGCGAGAATCTCTTTGAGACATCAGATTAAGCTCCATTTTACTAGCAAAGGCCTTTGAAAAGCAGATTTAAGAATTTCTAATTTTCTCGGACATTTTCCCGCTCGCGCTCTCATTTTTCACCTGTGGATATGGCGGCAAGGCCCTTGGTTTCTCCTGTTACGCTGCGAGGATTGGGGTGTAGGAGTGGGACAAAACAGGGAAATGAAGTAGGTATGGTGATCTTATCACAAATGTATCGACAGGTCTAAGCGAACCGGGTATGCCACCTAGATTCAAAGAAAAAAAACTGCCCCAAGTGCAGGTTCCTAGAGACTGAATATTACTTTGCTTCAGATTCGATAAAGACATTGCGTATGATTCAGCCATCGAGAAGATGTTCACCGATTGTCATCAACGAAATAGTAAGTGCGACGGTAAGTTTTCCCGTCTCCTATCTTTCGGCAACAACTTTTCAACTAAATAGTCTCTGGATATCTTCTATCTGAAAACTCTAGCTCTCGAAAGTGTTTTTGAGATACATATACAGCAGCGGCAATCCAAAAATATTCTTTCGAGGGGGAAGGGGAGTCAAGAGATACTCACACTCTCCGAAAAAATTTTTGCGATGCTTCCCAATTTTTTTGCTGAACTCCAGTGAATTTTTCAAAAAAATATTTGGTAGCATCTACATTCCCCGAAACTTTCTGGTTGATTCGAATTCTTAACAATATTGAAGATCTGAATCGTTTACAAGTTGAAACAATTCAGTTGGATTCAGGGCACGGCACCAGTCGGTTTTCTAGAGTTTCTAAAAACGTAGTCCCCTCTGACTTTCGAAAATTTTACGAAGTTCCCTTTGGCCCTTATCGAAAACCTATCAACTTAGGAGAAGATGCCCCAGCGGGGAGGTTAGTGCATGCGGACCTTAGCTGATGTGTCCCGCATTCCTGACATCCTTCTATAGAGCTCCTTGCGTCGAGCCTTGGAAATTTTGGTCTGCTAAACTGCGAAATACTGTTTCACTGTGCTTGTTGCTGTGCCTACGGGGACCTAGCGTGAGAGGCTCGAGAAAATGAAGTTTAGTATTCTTCTGGTGTTTAGAGCCTTACTGTAAAGAAGTTTAAATATCAAATGTATAGAGTGTGGAGTTACGTTCATTTACAGATTCCAACATCAGTGAAGGAAGGTCGAACCTTTCGTTCAACAAAATGTTTCTTGGCGAATCTAAAACTGATGTTCCTTCTTTCTTGCAAACGGTACATTCTCAGATTTTAATTTTTACACCAGTAGCACTATGAATTGGAAAGTCGAAATGTTGCAGGTTTTGCTACTTTCAGAATCCTGAAGAGGACGGAATAAACAGCAGCATGAATTCAGTTGGACGCAGTGGCGTAGTAAGTCCGCAAGCGTCTATGAGCAGCAGTGTCGTTTCTGAGGTTGTCTGAAGTATTTGCGTCTGTTTGAACCACATCTTCCGTTATAGCTGACTACCCCGAAGATGTTGGGATTACCCAAGAAAGGCTTGTCTCACTCCGGTGGCAACGTATACACTGCTCGACGAACACCGTCAAAGTAACTTTTTCATATTTTAATATTTGCATTTCACTCACATTGGACCAAAGTTAAATATATATTTTATTTCGATATATTTTGGACAAACTTTAAAATTCAGTAATGATTCCTGCTCGGACTCGACGCAAGTTTTGTGTTGGCTGATTAATATACTAGTCCATTCATTTTGGGCATTGAAGGCACCATCCACCCAAAATGCGGTCGATGAGATTTTGATGCTTAACAGTGCGGGACCCCAACTGTATACTTGCCAACTCGAGCTGCCAAAAGTTGCTTCCGAAGGGAGAAAATTGCTTCGAAAATCGCTTCGGATGATGTATTCGCCACGTTGGCTCCTCTCTTTTGGATGAGCGCGACGCTGGTCCCGCCCATCCGTGCGCAGCCCCAATCATCGTTCTGAAGTAGCCCTGCGGGTTCTGCGGAACGGTGATTGACGTTTCGCGTATTGACTTGATATCCGAAAGGGACATAAGAAGGCCCTCGAATGACAAAAGCGGAAGTCGAGAATTTGGGTGGACGGTGCCTTTAACATGACTACGAACATGGTAGGAACCTCGAGGCGGAATTTCCTTGAGATATCTTACTGTATCCAACTCATCTCAAGCACGCAGATTCTTTATCCCGTGTTGTATATCCCAAAGTCAAAATGTATGCGCTGCTTGTAGCCCACATGCTAACTACCAAGTAGACTCTTCATAAATCTTAACAGGAAGGATCCTCGTTGCTCCTTTTGTACGCGTTTGCTAGCCGATATTTTTTTGGAATTCCGAAGTTTTTTGCGGCCTACAATCGAAGAAATTAGAAAAGGGAGCGTTTTGAGGCCAATTTTAGAAATTTTTAAAATCAATTCAACTATCTTATAGCATAAAAGTTACTTGCACATTTTTCTTATGTAATTAACTTTCGGAAATTTCACTACGCTCCCCTTCCACTTCGGGCCTCTAGTATATAACAAAATCATGTTTTGAACCGCTGATCGAACTTTGCCCACTACCGTTCAGGGCTCGTTGATAATTATTCACGGAAATTGTTGCCGCTATGAATGCGTTGTACAGGGCGCTTTTCAACATAAGAGTCACAGCTTCCGCTTGCGCGGCTCCTCCAACGCGGCCGCCTCGCTCAGGCCGCGCGCGGCGTTTGCTGCGCATCGCCCGGATTTACAGTCTGCTCCATTTGGGATCAGGCCAGTCGTCACCGTGAATTTGCGCGCTCGCAGCGCTAGCGGTCTGCGCTGCATAGGCGCGCTGTCGGAGAGAGCAAAAGGATTGAGGAGAGAGAGCAGAGAAGCAGGCCGTGGGCGTGACCGCGAAACCCTAGCGAAGCGGACTCCTGCCATGCCAATTTTGGCCTGGTTAGGATTGGGGCAGACTGTAGCCAAGCTTCAGTCGACGCGCAGCCTGGTGCCACGAACGCTGCGCGGACCTAAGCGTGGCGGCCGAGCGGGGCGGCTGTGACCCTCAGGTTGTAAAGCCCTTAGATTAGAAAGGCCCGTATGCACGTACAGTGACCGCCAAAAAGTTGCGGACAAGCCTCCCTCCCAATTTCATCGCTCTATTTCAGAAGGAAAACAAGGATAAAAAATGTATTAATTGCATGAGGTGATAGAGCTCTTCAAGATCTACAATCCACACTTTGCGTTTTTCGAAAAACCTGTATTCTAAAAATTTTAAAAAACTTTTTCTTAAAAAAGTCCGAAAATGGCCGCGTCACAATGTCGCGGACAATAATGCTTCGAACGCAAAAGTTTTCTTTTGAGTCCTATTCTGAGGTGGAAACACAAGTAATCCAAACGGGTAAGCATACTACTATACAGAGCTCGTCAAGAACTACACACTGGTTATGGTTGCTTCCCAGAAAACACAAGCTTGAATTTTATTTTGCTTCTTTTCAAAAAACAACTTCTAATTCCCTGCTTCAAGCCAAATTTCTTCACATGGAAAACCATGCAAGACATTCAAACAAAGCTATTCGGATAAAATGGATGCCCCTTGCCATCTCCTATGCATCGGGCGTGTGCTGGTAAGTTTCTTTGCTGAAAATGGCTTCTGAGAGTGCGTGTACATGACCCCACCTGCACCTCACCACTGACTTGTACCGCTTTGCAGGCTTGTAACTCGGCTTGTAGTCAATGTGTGAGCCTGCAATTAGGCTCGTTCGAAAGAACGAGACTTCCTCTACACGATGGTATGCAAAAGAGATGGGTATAAGAAACAGCGGAGATTTGGCGGATGGGGTGGAAAAATGCGGCCTCAGTCGTAGGTTGAGGATATCCAGCTAAAGTTGAATAGAGCTTCTTTCGCTACCAGTTCAATCCTGAAAGCTTAAAACTGTCAACGTTTTTGTAATAGATCCATTTTGAAGCTCTAGAACTGTTTTGGTATTGATAAGAGCCTTCACTCCAACCAGCACTGAGGCCGCATTTTTCCACCCCATCCGCCAAATCTCCGCTGTTTCTTATACCCATCTCTTTTGCATACCATCGTGTAGAGGAAGTCTCGTTCTTTCGAACGAGCCTAATTGCAGGCTCACACATTGACTACAAGCCGAGTTACAAGCCTGCAAAGCGGTACAAGTCAGTGGTGAGGTGCAGGTGGGGTCATGTACACGCACTCTCAGAAGCCATTTTCAGCAAAGAAACTTACCAGCACACGCCCGATGCATAGAAGATGGCAAAGGGCATCCATTTTATCCGAATAGCTTTGTTTGAATGTCTTGCATGGTTTTCCATGTGAAGAATGGCTTGAAGCAGGGAATTAGAAGTTGTTTTTTGAAAAGAAGCAAAATAAAATTCAAGCTTGTGTTTTCTGGGAAGCAACCATAACCAGTGTGTAGTTCTTGACGAGCTCTGTATAGTAGTATGCTTACCCGTTTGGATTACTTGTGTTTCCACCTCAGAATAGGACTCAAAAGAAAACTTTTGCGTTCGAAGCATTATTGTCCGCGACATTGTGACGCGGCCATTTTCGGACTTTTTTAAGAAAAAGTTTTTTAAAATTTTTAGAATACAGGTTTTTCGAAAAACGCAAAGTGTGGATTGTAGATCTTGAAGAGCTCTATCACCTCATGCAATTAATACATTTTTTATCCTTGTTTTCCTTCTGAAATAGAGCGATGAAATTGGGAGGGAGGCTTGTCCGCAACTTTTTGGCGGTCACTGTATATCCTTGCGGGAGCGGGAGAGGATCTGAGAGGAGACGCGTCATATCTCGCTACTCTGAATATCTTTCTTCTTCTTCTTTCTCTTCATGGCTTATGAAGGTTCTCATATCCTGATACCTTCCCATAATGAATGCCAGGTTGCTACCATACAAGATTAGATTTTCACTATTTTGTGTGGTCCTCTGGGGATTCTCAGGGGATCAACTCTCATTTTCAAACTCATTTACCTTCCTAAAAACTCAATGAAAACGCGGTAAAATTGTACCGAGGATATACTACGGCGCTGCTGAGCATGTTTTCGAAGGGAGAAATGGGATATGAAAACTGTGGAATTTTCGGTAATCCCTAGCTCGCGAGCAGAGGTTCATGAAAATTTCGATATCCTGAGATTTCGCTTATCTCTACTATAAAGATGTATAGCAGTGTCGTACTATCGAGTATTCAGAAAGATAAATGATTTGGAAATGAGAGGTGATCCCCTGGGGATCTCCAGGGGACTCCCAGGGATCATACAAAATAGTGAAAATCTCTCTTGTATGACAGTATCCTGGCAACCATTATGCGCAGGTAGCAGGGTGTGAGAACCTCGATAACTCAGAGGGAGAAAGAAGGAAAGATGTCTAAAGTAGCGAGACATGAAGCGTCCCCTCTCAGATCCCCCCCCCCCCTCCCCGCGGGGATGTACGTGCATATGGGCCTAAGTGTTTGCCGTGGTCGATGTAGATTACCATCAAATAGTCGGTTAATATAGCTGCAAAATTCTCAAAGCAAGAATTGTCCTCAGATAATCTACAGTGAACTTGAGGGGATTTGATAATTTCGGAATATCTGATTCTCGAATATGATTCTGAATAGGGAACTTCCTACCATTCGACTTTGAATGTTGTTCGAATTCTTGCAGTCCAAATAATTCGACTTTTTTGCCAATGAATCTTCCGTACTTCTTTTGTCGAATCTTTCAAACCCAAATGGTCGTTGGTACTTTTGTCATAGTCCAATCAGTAAGCCACTACTGAGTTGTTTTGTAGCATTATTGCGAACTCTTTGCGGGCAAAATGAGCAAGACTAACTTACTTTTCGTATCCTTGTCAGATTGTTGTCTGCTAGGAATTACATAGTGGTGCAAGCCAGATAAGAGACCTTTTATTCAGAATGCATTGGTGTATAGACTAACAATTGTAATGCTTTTTTGGTGGTGCCCGCAAGTCCGTTAGCACTAAATGCGTATTAAGATTAGTAGTCACATCTGGCATACGTTTTCCTTAACTGTGACCTCGAGGAATCTGCCAAATGTATCACAGCGATAACATTTAACGACTACGAAATTCATTTAGCAAGCTTTCTTTTATGTTGGGAGCATACATACAGCGTATACGTAAAGACTATATAAACTAGACATTCTAAACTACTACACAATATAAACTAAGTGGTTTCTTAATTGTGCAGTAGCAGTGCACATGTGGACACATCAAAATCACTTGAATATCGATAGAGTCTATTTTGCTACCACTTCATAAATAGAAAAGTACCATTTGATTCAACTGGCTTGGCTTCGGGAAGGCGGGTTCGTGACGTAATCAAGGCTAGGCAATGATTAGAGAGCACTCGCGCGAAAGAGACACAGGTGCGTGGCGGACGCGAGAGGCCTTCCTTCTAGAAGTCAAGCCAGTTGAATCAAAGGTTAGTCATCTTTGGCGGGTAGACGTTTTCTAGCCACAAAACATTTCAAACAAAGTTGCCACTGTTTTACATCAATGGCGGTCGCAGGGTTTTGGTTCCGGGGGGGGGGCCAAAAATTCTTTTTACAAATGAAGGTGCCTAGCGTCAGCCACGCACTCCTAAGAATTTTTTGGGGTGCATCATAAAATTTTTGGGGGCCCATAACCTCCTAAAATCTAGAAAAATGCCCCAAAAAGGTATTTTTACATGGCTAATTTGAATTTTTCAAGGAAAATTAATTCAATTATCTGCAAGAATAAACAAGTCATCATACTTGCACATCTCTTAATCGGCAAGTAAGTCTCAATAATTTTGCGACGAAGTGTCCCCCCCAGGGCCCGGCACGAGGTCGGCAAAAGGGGTTTTCGAAAACGGATTCCCCTTTGACCCAAAAGTTTTTTACGATTTCCCCTTTGACCCAAAAATTGATCCCAGTGATTCTGCAATGAACACGTTACCAAAGGAAGAACATTTATTGAAGAAAAAAAATAAAACCAATTCATTCATAACAAAAAATGAATTCATATTGAGATCTTTGCAGTGAGGTCAATGAAAGAAAATTAGCACCGGCAGCTTGGGGGGGGGTTTCAATTTTTTCGTCAATTTTTTGTCAATTTTTTCCGGGGCTCCGCCCCGGACCCCGCAAAAACGATTTCCCCTTGCTTTTTGGCCCCAAAACTATTTTCAGCTTGTCATTTGCCGACCTCGTGCCGGGCCCTGCCCCCCCCCCCCTCCCCCTTTGCCAATAATTCACGCGTATATCTTGGTAGCCATATTGAGTGCTCTGACTCAAAATGCTTGTTACAGGGACAATCCGTATGCGGGAGTATTCTGCCGTCCTCCAGTTTTGCAGAAGTCAGGGTTCCACATTTGGGTATTTTTACTATGGCAACAATCTGATTTCATTTTTACTATTTTAGGTATAATGGCCGCTATTCTGCAGGCAAATCGGCTGTAGTGACTTCTGCCATATGCACCGTACCGAGACTGCAGGCAAAATCACCCAATACTCCTGGTGTGTTCACGTTATAGTTTTCACACAGCTTCACACGAGTTCTGAGAGGTAGCAGGCACGTTAATGCGAGGATTCAACCAAGACAACGGTTGCAAGCAAATCTTTCCTCCAGCGTTTAGCGCGAGCGCTCTTTCTAAAACCTGGATTTTTTTTATGCTTTGTTCTTAACAGGAAGGAAAGGAGTATCGAAATCGCATCCCTACTTTATGGTAATTAGCTGGCTTACCCGGCTCCGCCGTATGTTCCAAATAGAAAATTCCATTTCTTAACCGATCCGGACCAAACTTGGCACACATACACTTCGGACCCCGGCTGGTGTCACAGTCCACTTTTCGTTATCGATCGATGTCGATTTTATCGATTTTTTGCAAAATTTGAGCTAGGGGCTGGAATTTGGCAGAGGGGTGTAATCGAGCATGCTGATCACCCCCACTCGATATCGATCGATGACGAAAAGTAGCCTATGACACCCGCCGGGGCCCGAAGTGTATGTGTGCTAAGTTTGGTCCCGATCGGTTCAGAAATGGAATTTTCTATTCGGAACATACGTACAGACAGACATACAGACAGACAGACAGGCAGACAGACGAACAGACATTCAGCTTTATATATAAGATGGCGTAGAACCGTTGATGTAAGAGTTAAGGAGGGCTTATGTGAACCTGAGTGCCATCATCACGCGGCGTTGTTTCTGACATGTACGATTAGGTTAGAGAAAGTGGTTTGATTTCTCATTTAGAGATTTGTTTTTTTCCCTCATAGACACTGGAAGTGACTAAGCTGAAAGTGTGAGTCACTTGCACATTTTTATAACCCACTTAAGAAATGTCAGAAATTTCGCGAATACAGTCTGCTCCAATCGTCAGGCCGAACCGTTTGCTAAACCTGCGCGTGCTCAGCGCCAGCACTTTGCGCTGAGCGAAGAGATCGAAGAGAGGCAGGCAAGCAGACCGGACTCCCGCCATACCAATTTTGGCCTGATTGGGATCAGGACAAACTGTGCAAAGAATCTTGATTTATTCCAATTTCTTATCTTTAAAGAAAGATCATATTTGCGCAGGTGTTGTCCAAAAGCTTGTTCGTCATGTGACTGGGGATGTCTGAGAGGTGGTGTACATGTAAACTTCTTTTACGCATCCCTCGCTTTTCTCAGAACGATAATTTACCTTAACAGTCATCTTTCTGCCGGGCTCTGATTATCGCTCATATAATACAGACTTATTCTTTTCTCCTTCCTCAGTGAAGATCAGAGTTCCTCAGAATTCTCTTGGAGACTCTCTGGTTTCTCTTTAGATTACGTTCTATGGGTAGAAGACGTTAGGTTGCCAAAAGGTGTGGTCACGCGGACTGCACCAAACCCACGTCTTTGGGTTGTTTCATACTGCCGCACTGAGTGCAGCAGACTGCTGCAGCTGCTGCGTCAGTGCAGACTGCTGCAGTCAGTGCGGCAGTATGAAACAACCCTTTAGATATCGTTCAAACGTCCGCACCCTCCTGAATCGCAACGCGCCGGAGGAGTCTGCTAAATGAGGGAAGCAACGGAGATAAGCCTTAAAATTGGCATACTAGGGCAATAATGGAATGCCGTGCCGTTGTATTAGCTTGCTGCATAAGTTCTGTCCGATTTTAATTTTTTGAGGTCAAAATTTCATAGCTTCTTTCAAAGTCAACTTTTTTATGAGATCTTAGTTTTATGTGTTGAGCAGTTCCTTAGCTATCAAATACATAATGAGACTTGCGAAAATCCTCTTTAAGGAAAAAGCAAGAACTCAAAAACTTCACAGCGTTTTTTCAAACCTGTCTTTTTTGACATGGCAATGCTCCCTTATGAGAGTTGATAGGCATCTTATCTAACAATGGATAGATAGAGAAATTTTCTTAGATTATTTGGCAACATAAAAGAACACATAGGGTCTGCGTTGTCGAGAGATTTTTTGACTGAGCAAAAATAAGCCACTTTTTGACCTCGCTTCAGCGCAGGTGTGCATGCCTATTTACGAATTATGAAAATTTTGCAATTGACATGAGCGCCGAAAAGGAATCGGTGGATGGGCCCTGCTAGCTCTTCTTTACCCTAGAACTGTGCGACGTGGCTGTGACGCGGCTGTGACGCAGCCGTGTCACAGCCGCGTTGCACATCGAACCGACCGTGTTCATCTTGGAAGAGCTTATATATATTAGGGCGATTGGTAAAAAATGGGGCAGCTTGATTTTTATTGAATTTTGAGAATTTTTGTTCCGATCAACAACAAGCAGGCTGCAACGTAAACGTCGCTTATATAAGCGACCTTGGCCTATTATTCTGGCAAAGCGTCAACGCTCCTCTCCCACAACCCTATGCGTGGCGCCCTGAAGAACTCGAACAGGGTTTTCTGAACATCGCTCATTCTTGCGCTGTTATACCGTAAAGTCGTAGAACAAGTGACATACCATTCGAAAGAGCTCTTCGTGCTCTTTCGAACGATGTGTTAAATGTATGAGATTTCTTTTCAGCTTCAGAAAAAAATCGAAAAAACGTAAAAAATAGCTATTTTTGGCGCAATAAAAAACCAGTAAATCAAGTTTCAATCTATATTTTCCGAAGGTAGATAAAATCTGAGGTAAGCTGCATATGGATGGATAAAGCGTAAAAAGCTCTTTCAGACGGTACCTATATAACATGCGTTCACCTGCAAAGCATTGAATAGCACGTATCTTTGTTCTCAAAGCTGCTAATGGCCATATCTCCTGAATTTGAAAGTTTATACCAGCAACCCATCGTGGGTCTGGTGACTGTACCTTCACGAATTGCAGTAGTAGTACTTTGGATGGTTTCGCATGTTTCCCTGCGCAAATACTGCCCGAAGTTTATAATTTGTCGAAGTGACTAACTTCGACAAATTATAAACTGCTTTCAAACTGAACTTGAACTGCTTACTATATTCAGCCACTGTCAAAATTATCAGATACGTAAATGACCTTATATAGGGTATTTCCTGAAAGAGAAAAGTTTACTCTAACAACCATCAAAATTGGGAAGTCACTTTTCTTTTTTGAGAATACATTTATTCTCTAGGTGCCTCATTTCTTACCGATCACTCTAATATCTCGAATTTATTGCGCCTATGATTTGTTATGGAGTTTATTATATGAATCGATCAGGATGAATCAATATTCGCAGCATTTCACTAGGCCCTTCAATTGCTTTGAATTTTTGCCGAATGAAAATGGCAGGTCTTAAGGAAGGTCATCAATCTCTATTGAAAAATCTCCTCGTCTTTAAGCAGGACGCGTAGGACTCACTTCTTGACGTACAGTTGCACCACTTTTTTCATGACCGAAAGCTTGAATAACAATTGACATGTTATAGCAGAAGCAGTGCTGGGCTATTTATAAGTCACGCGTAGATGAATCTTTGTGCAATTTTGACACTATCTTGTAGAGCTTGCCTTGCTGTTTCACCGAACGCATGCTTGATTTTCGCCTAGCCGAGGTAGGATGAGAAACTTGCAATAATGCTGCATTAGTTCGACATATTCAATCTCGTTTTTCGGTTGGAAGCACCATCTATGCAGCTTTTCTACTTATTTCTAAACCTTCAAAGGGATGTCCGGGCAAAAACTCGATTTTGAGATTGTGCTTACACGAGCCTATTCGCTATGCTGAATTCGAAAATACACACTGGAAAGCGCGAGAACGGCGCTCTAACGCAGGAAGAAAGTTAGCAGGTGGGCGTGAATTTACAGTGGGGTCCTCCCCACTGTAAATTTACGCTCCCAGCTTCCGGGCGATCTTTTCGGTTTCGGTTTCAATTCAGTCGTTCGCACTTGGCCGGTAATCATGACAGGGTGGCTAGCGGAATCGAAAAGGTCGCTCCGGAAGCTGGGGTGTATTCACAGCGGCGAAGGCGAGACCCCGCCCACCTGCTGATTTCCCTCTTCGTTAGAGCCCTTTTTCGCCGTTTTCGCGCTAATTAGTATGTATTTTGGATTCAGCATACCGAATAGGCCCGGGTATGCACAAAATCTCAAAATCGACTTTTTGCGCGACACTGCCCTCAAAGTGATTGGCCACTTCGATTTCGCGACCCTCCCTTGTGAGTCTATAAGCTTGAGCTTCATAAGATGACGAAACTTTGAGCACTCCATGTCGAAGGCGATATTTACATGAAATCGTATGACCAAAGATAGAGACAACTAGAACGGTTTAGCATTGTCAGTTGTTGCATCCAGTCTCCGCACTAATCTGCCGGCAACCCATGTCAAGTAAGCTGTTATTAGAAAGGTTATCGCCTATGTCAGGGGGGTGGTGCAGGAGGAACCAAAGGCCTGCCGCCTGTTACCGCAGGAGACAATTAGAAGCGCGAACGCTGTGGAGAAAATTTTGGCAGCGATCCAAGAAAACTTGGCAAGGATATCAAATGCAAACAAATCCTTATAACTGTGCTTAGAAACAACTTTGAAAGATACAAAGTACAGATTTGAAATCAACCTTGCAAGTCGCATTCGAGCGTCAGTGAATCAAAATTTGATATTGTACTAGAAGAAAAGATTGACTTTTTAATATACTCACTCGTCATTATGAATACTTAAAGTTTCAACTTTTGATAAAACTGGGAATCTCAGAATTTTTTTTCTCAGAATTGGGAGCAGCTTTCGTTCAAAGTCAACCAAACTGCATTCAGAATATCATAGAAAAACCTAGCACTGAAGTCTTACGTAAAAATGTATCGTTTGATTCATTTGAGTTGAATTTTGATTCATGAGTTCTATTTGGCATTTTGTGAAATCTCTTAGGACTGCACAATGAAACCCTGGCGGTGATACTTTCACTGTACTACGAGATTGTATACAACAGCAAAAGTTAATCACAATTCAACTTTTAACTGTATCTCCTGGTTTGCAGCTTTTGCTACTGAACTTCAATTGAAGTTGTAGAAATCCTTTTGAAAAGATTTCAGTTTCTAATGCTGGTTTCGATTCCATTTCATCCGTATACTTTTTCGCTGAAAATGGAGCTAAAATAGCGATGCAGAGTTGTTTATTTAGACGCTAGGCCTATACTGAAAAATGCTCATTTCAATGCTGACTCCAAAAATGTGTTTCATATTTTTCAAAGTCATTTTCAAGCACAGCTATAAGGGTTTGTTTGCAATTGATATCCTTGCCAAGTTTTCCTGGATCGCTGCCAAGATTTTCTCCACAGTGCTCGCGCTCCTAACTGTCTCCGGCGGTAACAGGCGGCAGGCCTTTGGTTCTTCCTGCACCGCATCCCCTATGTCAGTTTTCCATGTTTACTGTTTGCACCTCTCTGACATTTACTAGAAATATTTTTATCTATTCAGGTTATGTCACACGTGGAAAGATCATTCCTCGGGCAAACACTCTTGCTATGGAAGGCGACGGCTACTAGCAGCTTTGAAAACAATGATGTCTGTATGATAATGAATCTGTAAACGTTTTTTTAACATAGATTGCGAGAATCTGAATTATCGATCAGCGTTGAAGATTTTTGACTTTGTTGCCAATTTTTATAAACATTTGATACGATTCATCTTGGTAGAGGCAGTGGTCCATTAATATAATGCTTAATACCGTAATAAGGTCAACAGTGCCCGGGAAAGTGGTTTTGTCAGCTAGACATCTGAGTTTCCTAATTTGACGTTCAAAGTATTGTCCAAGTCGACTCTCGATTAATCTCGGCATGTTGCAGATGCTTGTTATAACTTGTTGAGGTGCCTATATGGCCCTCCCCAACAAAGGCAGGGACCAATCGCGTGCGTCCCAGAGTCTGAGCGGCGGGGCTTTCTCCTAGGTCCTTTAAAATACCGAACTTCCTGCAAGTTGAGTGAATGGTTTTTTGAAGTCAAATATATTTATGTGCTCGTAGGTCGCAAATTTTCAAAACGTTGTCATCTAGTCTGCTAACGCCAGTAGCAGTTTGTAGAATACCATCGTAAATAGGTTGTCCACTCTCTTTCATAGTACTCGGAACACTCCGCATAAAGGAAGAAGCACTTCTGAAATGCTTGGTGCCAATATAAACAATCTCCTCTTGTATTCAAAAGTATTTTGCGATCACATGTGCCTGAAAAACCCTGAAGTGGTTTCTACGATCTGTTCTATAAACATAAGCAAACATTTCATCTCTATCCATGCACTTCGTGGTTATTGCACTCGTTATATTGCAGCATATATGCACGTGTAGGAGAGGGTCCGCTATTCTATTTTCTCAGTTGATCAGTTTCACTATGCACTCCAAGAGCCCAACTGGCCGCGTTTTCATATTTAATCAAAGAGTATTTCTGTAACTGCTTCTCTGTATATAACAATATTGAGCTACAAACAACTGACTGTGGATGCACTTAACAGCGGAGGAGTAGGGTAGCAGCCATTCAGTCTCTTGATATAACTTTGGCCTATGAAAGCAGACAAGGTTCAAAGACAGCATTACTCAGAAAGAGATGACTCGTTGTGTTACCGTTTTGTGTTGCGAAAGCTCGAAAAGCTCAGTCACCTCTATAATTGACAACATAAATATCACGCTAAATAAGTCTTCATGAATATCCACGCGCCAAATCACGCAAGAAAATATCTTACAGATTTGGTGTATGATTAGCTTGATTAGTCTCTTCAGTTATCTACATCACTACGTCATCCTTATGCTGCTCACAGTCCAGTTGCAGTTTCAAGTAGCTCAAACGATCAGATTCCAAGGACAAAAAAAAACAGTCTGTAGGGTAATGGAGTTGTAGATAGACTGGGTCGGAATTATTTATTTGAGAGTTTCAAAGTCTATGGTTCACAAGTGCGAGCAGAGTTGTGATTGCAGGACTTACAAGGAAAGGATACTTAGTCGAAAGCACCAATCCAGATGAAACATATATCATCTTAAAGCGCTTGAAACGCTGATTTCAAATCTGCAGTTTCTAGCTGCGGAGCGGTTTTGTAGAAGGAGTTATGAAGGGTGCTCCGCTCTGGGATTTAGGCGCCCTCCAGCGGTCTCCCTTATCTGTAAGCACTGCAGAGGAGTATCAGCAGATGGCAACTGACCTAATGGTAAGTAACTTGAATGAAGATTACAGTAAGGATTGTAATACTCATATTACTCTAGTTTTTTTAAACACTTCTAACTTCGATTAGTATCCATATTATCAGAAGTTTCATGCTTTAGGGCTCTAAAGCCATTTAGAAGTTCAATTTAGCATGCGAAGATGATTAAAACCTTGACACTCTCTTTATCAAGCACGTCACTTACCACTAGGCCAGTTGCCACAATTGGTACTCCTCTACAGTGCTCATAGGTAGGGGGAGACCTGGTGGAGGGCGCCTCAACCTCAGAGGAAACACCCCTCATAACTCCCTCTACAAAACCGTTCCGCAGCTAGAAACTGCAGATTTAGAATCAGCGTTTCAAGCGCTCTAAGATGGTATATGCCCCATCTGGATTGGTGCTTTCGACTAAGTATCCTCTCCTTGTTAGGAAAAGATGCGCGCGGGTCTCGCCTCGTGTACCCTGATGGGACTTTACGGTGCCTGCCTTTGCTGGGGAGGGCCATATAGGGCATTTCTGGCTTGTTTAGCTGGACACCGGGATTGGTATATCCTTTATTCGAGTAACGTTTCGGCAGTATCGCCTTCTTCAGAGTCTGAAATTATCGAATGCATAAGTGAACTATCCCATCAAAAACCGCCTCAAAACTTAGGATGACTCCCAATGCGTCAGTGAGCCAGAAACTCGAAGGTGAATGCAGGATGAAACTAAATGAGTAACTAACTAAATGCGTACCTAAACAGATGCCGACAAAGTGGTACTGCGGACCACTATATCAGTAACTGAGCTTTAACTTTCTTATATACTTACTAGTTGGCAAACCCGGCTCCGTCCGGCCCTGTCAATAACATATTTGTAATCAGCATGCTCGATTACGCCCCTGTGCCAACTCCCAGCCCGTAGCTCAAATTTTGCAAAAAATATAAAATCGAGATCGATCGATAACGAGAAGTAGCCTATGACACGCTCCCCGCCCCGAAGTATATGTGTGCCAAGTTTGGTCCAAATCGGTTCAGAAATAAAAATTTCTATTCCGCACATACGTACATACAGACATACAAACATACACACATTTAGCTTTATTTATAAGATTCGCCTGCCTCAACTTGACCTCAGAAGCCAGAAAGGCTTTGATAAGGCGCCAACTCATTAGTGATGTCTATGCACTCATTTTTTCGATTCAAACTTGGACTTTTGGCGGTAATCCAAAACGCTTCTACAGTCTTGCGCGCTAGGGTTTTGGATTCGTAGGCTAAGATCGTGACCTCCACGCTTATGTCTGCGTCATTATGGAACTGTATGCGATGCTTGCCCAGTGCCGTGTGATCTTTTGAGCCCGTATGCTCAGATGATCGCCGGGGGCAGGCAGTCCGCAAACTCGCGCTTTTCTGCAGGCGGTCAGCAGAATTTTTGGGGCGTGGCCAAACCTTCAGCGGGGGCACTTCCTTTACGGTCGCATATTCTGCCAGCGGGTAATGAAGCATTCTCTGCAAGCGCTCGGCAAATAAATTCTTTCAGAGAGCGCTGGCTGAACTTTCAGTAAGCGTCAGGACTCTTTTAACGCAGTTTCGGACATACGCTGAGTAAAGATGAGACTCTTTGCGGCAGAGGTGTCATCGATGGTTTTATTACTCAAGTCTGAAATACCTTCTTTCGACGCAAGGTATGTACCTACGGGCTGTACGGCCTTCACAAAGGACCGTGCGGCCCTCATTATTTTTGCATATTCTCGCGAAAAGTCCGCGAGAATGCGGCCGCTGCACCACAACTAATCCATAGAAAAACCACGATACTTCTCCGAGCATTCCTCTAAAAATTGGCCAACATTCTTTCAGATTTCTGCAAGCGGACCGCATGAAATCAGCGAACTATTTTTCCGGTGCCCGCTTGCGCAAAATTCGCATGGCCGATGATTATCTGAGTGGTTATACATAGGGCCGCTCTCTCTCGCCGATGCTCAGATAACCGCCGGGGGCAGGCGGCCATGCGAATTTTGAGCAAGCGCGCACCGGAAAAATAGTTCGTTGATTTTTTGCTTGCAGAAATTTGGAAGAAAGTTGGCAAAATTAAAGACGAATGCTTGAAGAACAATCGCGGTTTCTTTATGGATTAGCTGCGGCGCAGTGGCCGCATTCTCGCGGACTTTCCACGAGAATATGCAAAATTTTTGAGGGCCGCACGGTCCTTTGTGGAGGACCGCGCAACCCCCGGGTACTTTCCGCTGAGAGAAAGTACCTCAAACTTGAGTAATTGAACCAACGGTGACACCTCTACCACACAGAGTCTTACCTGTGCTCGACGTACGCCCGAAAATACCTAAAAAGAGTCCGAGCGCTTGCTGAAAGTTTGGCCAGCGCTCGCTGGAAGATATTATTTGACGAGCGCTCGCAGAAAATTCTGTATTGCTGCCCGCTGGCAGAACGCGGAAGTACCGCCCGCTGAAGGTTTGGCCACGCCCCAAAATTCTGCCGACCGCCTGCAGAAAAGCGCGAGTTTGCGGACAGCCTGCCCCCGGCGATTATGTGAGTGTACGTGCCTCCACACGTCTGACAGGTGATAGGGTACAAGTTGACGTTTAAGGGTTAGGTCCAGGGTTGAGCTTGGGGTCAGGAGCGCCCGACCTGGGGAGGGGAGAGGGGGTCGCAGGGGGGGGGGTAAGACTGAGGGGAGGGAGTCGTAATTAAGACGAATTTGTTCACAAAATGGAGAGGATGCTACGATTGAGTAAGGTGAGAAAGAAGAGCGCTGGACCACTAAATATCATTCCAGCGGAGTCATAGTCATTTCCGACAGTCATTTACACCGGAGAGGAAATGATTGTCGTTATTTGCATATTGGTAACTTCACTAGTGAAGTCTCGCCAACGGTAAGGTCACCAAAGAGGCTTGCTTTGTAAAGCGGGCAAGATTTCCGTAATCAGCATGCCAGAATACATATACGAGCAAATAAACCAGCCACCTATCACAATTTCTAGCGTTTCCTAACATCTAGGAAGTGGGAAGCGTGATTTTCAGACATGATTAACTTGGTCACGAAAGTAAAAGAAGTCTGCTTTCTTGTGCTTAGAACGAAGTAATACTCTTTGTCAGTCTATTGTAGAAATTAGGTCTTCTATCGCTTTTCAAAAGTGGATCAAGAAGTGCTGCCAAAATTTCAATCACTTCGTTTTCCACTTCGAGGCTTCAACTCCACCGATCACCACAAAGCCGGAACAAGTCCAAGTAAGCTCAGAACAGGGCCCGGCAAGGATGGTTTGGGGTCAAATTGGACTTCGTTTTGGAGTTAGAAGCAACGGGGACATTGTTTTTATGAGGTCCTGGAGGAAGCGCCAAAAAACACGACGAACATGTCAGGTTTCACGAGTTGAACGTGTTCTTTCGCAAGCGCGCGAATTTCAAATGCAAAACTCAAACAAACAAATGGCTTGTTTACAGCGCACAAACAATCACATGGCTCCGAATTTGGGCTATGAGTATACAATATTACTCCAAACTATG